TTTATGCCTTGAGAATTAAGTGTGTTAGTGACACACATTATGTGATAACATGCTTGTGATTTATGGTTGGATATGAAAATGTTGATATATGCTAATTGATATATTATGAAATTGGTAATTATATGCTTTGGATATAAATTGTCATGGAATATGTTTAAATGTGGTTAATTTTTCTCATGTGGCATTCTTTACATGTGGGCATGATATTGAGTTAGCTATGGTGCATTACATTGCATTTGCACGGAGGAACTGCATCCATAGCCATGAGTGTGGGTGTGTGTGTGCATGGATGATATCANCAGTTGTGTGGTTAAAGAATTGGGTCGGGGTTAGCAAGAAGGGCTAAACTATACCTCGGGTGAGAGACCCGATGATCGAAGATGCACTTCGTTGGTATAAGAGCCCATAAAGTGTGTCGGTGTACGCAGAACCGTTGGTGGAAGTCAATAAATCCTGTATCGGTTGGGTGCTGTTAGTGCACGTCCATAAATACCCACCCCAAGAAAGACTGAGAGATTGTTAAATAATCATTGGGTGTGCAGCGCCAATCGCAGGGCTTGGAAAGCCGGTTTTATACATACAGTATTGCATGGAAAGAAAAAGGAGCTAGGGAGGACTCGAGTTGAGTTGAATGAGTGAGTCTCATCTCATTTCATGGCATGACATTGCTAAGATTCTAACATTGAATAATATATTCTTGTTTGGGATGTTGTTGGTTGTAAAGTGTTGCATGAACATTCATATGCACTTAGGTTGGGGAATAGCCATGGTAGAAAATACTCTACTGGGCGTGGCTCACCCTATACAAGAAAATATTTCAGATGCAAGATACACGCCGGAAAAAGGCCCTCAAGTGGGACCTCAAAGATGAAGAAAGTTAAAATGTGNACTGGGCGTGGCTCACCCTATACAAGAAAATATTTCAGATACAAGATACACGCCGGAAAAAGGCCCTCAAGTGGGACCTCAAAGATGAAGAAAGTTAAAATGTGGCTTTGTTTTGAACCTTGTAAATATTTATGAAAATTATGTTCTTTGGTATGTAAATATATGGAATGGATAGTAATAGAACTAGTATGGATGTTGTATTACATGAAAAACATCATTATGCAAGTGCAAGATAACAATGAGGTGGATTGGAATGGGTTGGAAATCAAAAACAGGTGAAATAGGCAAAAACTGGACAAAGTGTACCGGTAGAGCGTTGTCCAAAAGGCAAAGTGTACCAGTACAACCTACTGGTACAACGTTTTCCAAAAGGCAAAGCGTACTGGTATGCCATACCGGTACAGATTTTTCAGAAGGCTCACCATACCAGTACGCAGTACCAGTACTTTTTCCAAAATTTTAAAATTGTTTTGCCAAGCTTTTGGACTATGTATCCTTTTATTCAAATGATGTCAATGGACTATAAGAGAGTGTAAATGGACCTCGGTTGGGTCAAGTGCTAAAATGTTCATGGATTACACGTGTGGGTTATAATCCCAGTTAAGGGGATGTTATTGACGTGACATTGAGTTGTGCGACACACACGGGTACTTTCGCGAGTTGACAGATGGTCAACGGTTGATAAAGGACCCCCGATTTTTAGGGGCGTCACATAGGCAATGGTTTTCCAATTATCTAGTGTTGTGATAGGTTATGATTTCATCCAATCCAAGTTTGATCATTCCTTATTCACCAAGGTCACAAATGCTTCTTTTATTGCTATGCTAGTTTATGTTGATGATATAGTCATAGCTACTAATGATGCAACTGATCTTAAGACTTTTCTACATAGCCAATTTCACATCAAAGATCTAGATACTTTGAAGTACTTTCTGGACCTTGAGGTAGCTAGATCTTCCATAGGAATTTCTATCTATCAATGCAAATTTTCAATTGAAATTCTGCAAGACTTCGGATTTCTTGGAGCAAGAACAACAAAATCACCAATGGGACATCATCTGAAATTCGGTAAACATACTGTGTAATAGTTATAGATGTTTTCACTTATAGACAATTGATTGGGAGGCTACTTTACCTCACTCTCACTCAACCTAATTTAGCCTATGTAGTTCAAGCTTTAAGTCAATATTTGGAATCTCTCAAATAGTCTCATCTTGATGCAACTCATATAATCTTATGCTACCTCAAAACAACTCCAACACAAGGACTTTATTTTATATTACATCTCTAATACATCTCAAAGCCTTACGTGATGCTGACGGGGCTGGATGCCCTAATATACAAAACTCTATCACAGGATTCTGTGTCTTTCTAGGCAATTCTCTCATTTCATGAAAGTCCAAGTAGCAAACCACAGTTTCTTGCTCCTCCGTTGAGATAGGATATAGGGGAATAGCCTCCACTAGTTGTGAATTAACCTAGTTATTTGCCCTCTTTATTGATCTTTAAATCCCTTATTCTCAGTTAGCCCTACTTTTCTATGACAACCAAGCTACCTTACATACTATATTCAATCCAATGTTTCATGTAAGAACTAAGCATATTGAACTCGATTATCATTTCATTCATAAAAAATACAAGCAAACACTCTCAAGACACTTCATGTCACCTCTTCTAAGCAATTAGGGGATATTTTCACCAAACTACTTGGTCTTGCTTAGTTCAACCTTCTTCTCAACAAGCTAGGTATTCTTGACATCCACACTCCATCTTGAGTGGATGTGTGGAGAAGGAGGCAATTCACAACTCATAGTGTTGTTTCCTCAACTTAGCTGCTTAACTGTCACAATTGTTAAAATTAGTCACAAGCTGTGTTTAATTAATTAGTTTGTCAACAGTTAGTTGGTTAAGAGAAGTGAGGCAGTGCACATGTAAACCTTCAGTATATATACACTATGATGTAACCAAAGTAGTTAGTTAATGAAAACATAACTTTCTTTGCCTTTCTCTCTCTCTCTCTTTCCCTCTCCCTCTCTCTCTCTCTCTCTCCCCCCCCCCCTCTAGTTCATCTTTTTCATTTCCCCTTTTCTTCAATTTTAACCGTGCAATACCTAAAAGGTTTTGACACTTCATGCAAAGCACTAGCATCAAGGGGTGGTTTCATCATAGGTTCAATGTGTTGTATTTTGAAACAAGGCCTCTGTGAGCCTGTTTAAATTTTCAATTATATTGTAATTGCATTATATTCAAAAGCTAAATATACGGACCCGCTCTGGAACAAATTACTCTTAACCTTTGTAATCTCAATCGTCTCTTAATTTATCAGTTAGACTCTGCGTCGTTTTGTTTCACTAGGACAGAAGTTGCATTACAAAACGTTTGCATGGTTATTTGAGATTCCATTTTCATGCTTTGCATTTTTCTACAAATTGTGAAGCATTCCATGGATGTTTTTGATTTTAACCAACTCGCAAAACGGGTATGTTTCACGTGCATGGTGTCTTCATTTCTGGGATTTTGTATCCAAACATTTCAAGATATGAATGCTATGAGCCTAGTAAAGATTATGAATGTTACTTGGTGCTCTATGTATGGAAAAGGAGTGGTCAATTCTCATTGGGATATATTTGAAATCTTGGCAGCGAGTTTATGGATCTCATTGGCTCTATTACTGAAGCCTTATTCCAATTTGGACAAGATACAAGAAATCCTTCTACAATTTTGTTATATCTTGACTAACAACACTCATAGTTTTATCTGCTTTTTTCATCGTACTTTCAAACTTCTCAATTTATTGGGGCTTTTATAAAAATGTGAGTTTTACCCGCTCTTGTCAACGTAAATGTGTTTTGAGAACATTCTTTTGGAAGTATTTAATATTTAATATCAAAACAAATCAAACTTTTATGGAAACTATGGTAAATTGAGAAGTAAATTTGAAATTACTTTGGAGAGACAATTCAGTTTAAAAATTACTTAACGTCGATTCAAAGGTCATGGCCATCCAGTGTCACAACATGTACTACCATTGTTTTGAAATTCTTTGTTGTCCTTATTTCTTCTTTGTTTTGTTTAGTGAGGTGCAGTGATTTCAAAACACTAATTCTTTTTTTCCATCTGTTGCTAGTAGGTGACTCCTCTTTCATGCTATTTCTTGGAGGATACACTGACATTTTAAAGTAACATGTTGGAAGGCTACAACATGACATAACCTTTCAAATTAGAATCCACTGTTAAATGAGACGATAATCTACTGTTAAATGGGTCTTTGGTCTAATGATAATCTTTACCTTGTGAAGACTTTGACTTCCTAAAGTCAAGAGTTCAAGTCTCTCTCCCCACTCCACCAAAAAAATTAAAAAAAGAAAATGAGAAGATAATATAGTTGATTGAGTCTGTAAAATTGTATCATTAAAATGGGTCCAAGTTGCATGAACGGATCCAAGCTAGTTTGCAATTGCACAGCCATAGATATTATACATACTCTTTCAGAAGAAATAACATTAAGTGTAACATATTAAACTCAGGTGAAAATAATATATCCTTGTATGATGTAATAAAATATTTAAGAACATATTGAGAATAATATTCTGATTAGGGAAGAAAAAACTCTTCATGTACAGCTGATTTCTTGCATGATCTATGTATTAGACTCTTATTTTCACAAAAAGTTCTGATATTGAACATGTACCATAGTGACCCGGTATTTATACTTGAGACCTCTTATCAATTAAGCCATCAAAAGCATGGATTAGTCCCAGGAAAATCATGCATTCTGTTTTCTAATATGTATGATTTTAATTTCTGATCCAGTATTACGATTACTCCAATTATAAAAAACTAAAGAGAGATAGAGAGACTTAAAAAATTATAAATTTTTTATAATAATCAAAATCCACATGAACGGAATTTGCGGTGCATTTGTCGAACATGTCATCAAAATCTCATCATCTACTGTAAAATAGGGAAAAATATTGAAGTTACTTCAAATTACATCATTTATACTATATGAATCTACAAAACCTCTATTTTTGGGCAAATCGAAACCCCAAAAAATGTTAGGGTAATATATACAAGGAAAAGCAGAAAATCAATAATAAAAATTCGTAATCTTAATGGGTTTTGGAGCCAGAAGTAGATGCAATATTACTGCTTTTGCTAGTGCTTGCACCATCACAAGATGGGTTGCTTTCGTCACTCGAACCTTCTTCTCGGTTGTTAACAAGAATAAACCACCGCATTGAATTAACTTGAAATGACCAAACCGGCACAACTACCATTCCTGCTTCCAGGCCATTACTCTCCCTAAACGTCTTCCAAGATTGGGTCAAAACGTACATTGCATTATTTGTGCCACTACGCTCCATCTTCATGTCCCACTTCCTCAGTTTTATATCTCTTTCTTCAAGGGACCGTCCAACCAAGCTTGCTGATATTTCACCACACTTCTTTCCATTGCGCAGGTCCAATGCTCTCTTCTCATCCTTTTCTAGATGAAAACCCTCTTCGATTTTATTTATCCGTATCGATAGCCGATTATGCTGATTACTAACGTCTGTATTGAACTAGGATTTTGGCATCACTAACACTGGCTCAGAACCCCCCAGGGCACTGATTAAATTCTTAAACTCTACGGGTAGATCAGGTTTTGGGTTTGGATCAGTTTGTGGCATGTTCTTCCTCGGTTTCTTTGGCTTTACAATCTTTGTTCCAGAACTTTCACCTTCAAAAAACTTCCTCTTTGAAACTGTCTTCCCAAAATTTGTGGTGCAATCCATTGCAATAAGCTTCATGAACCCCTCTACTCTCTTTGACTTTACAACTTTTGTTCCAGAACTTTCACCTTCAAAAAACTTCCTCTTCTCAGACTCTTCGGGGCAATCCATAGAAGTAGGCACCTCTACTCTCTTGGTCCTTGGTTTCCTTGGTATATTGTGATACCAAACCTTCTCTTCTTTGCATACTTCAAGAGAATTCGAGACTTGCTTACCTTTCTCCACAGAATTCTGTGATTTCATCAACACTACTTTTTTCCCGAATAACACAATAGAATCATCAATGGGTTGATGTACAATACTCTCATTTGTCGATTGTTGCTCGGTATTCATCGTAAGATTTTCCATCACAGCCTCCTTGAAAGTTTCTTCGTCCTTCAGCCCTTGAGAATCAGTGGTGGGTTTATCCACAGAAGCCTCAATATCCGTCAACCCTTGTACATTGTTCATGCAAAGATTGCCCATGATCACAACCTCCTGGATATTTTCTTCGTTCTTTTTCTCGAATAACTCATAATACTCATTAATCAGAGTAAGATTGGTCATCACAGCCTCCTTGAGGGTTTCTTCGTCCATCAGCCCTTTTTCTCTATCATGTCCCTCGCTCACAACGTCTAAAATAGAAATAAAATCCCTAGTAATAGGGATTTCCTTCGTCTTCACACCGGTCAGAAGTTCAAAAAGAAAATCTCATGTTCTTCGTTGCAAGTTGCAACTACAGAAATCAGATATGGTTTCTTGATAAAAGTGAGAGGGGTTTAGGGTTTCTTAGGAAAATTGAGAGGAATTAAGGTTTTCTTAAGAAAAGTGAGAGAGGATTAGGGTTGTTTTGGAGTAGTAATGTGAAACTTTTGAGGAGAGTGATGAAACCTGGAGATGACCTGCTATTTATACATAAGCTTAAGTCCTAGTTGCCAAAAAACTCTCTTAGAACAACTCTGTTTGATGTTTATGGTTTCCTAAACAGGCAGAACAATCCTTGTGAAATTTGATAAACTTGATGATCAAGTTATAATTAGTTGTCTTTCAATTAGTTGGTTTTGGATTTCCCGTAAACTCACTTGTGTAGCTGAGATACAAGTGTGCATTAACGGCCAAGATTTAATTGCCATGAGAATCCAATGGCAATGATGAGACAGGCGAGTAAGACATGCTTGAATTCCAAAAGAGTAATACTATCTGGACCTAAAAATTTTACCTATTTTATTGATATAATGATATGATTTCATGAGAACTATTAAATAAACACCAAATTTTAATGTTTTGTGCCCCCATAATCAATTCAAAAGTTATAGTAAATTAGATTAATAAATTAAGTCTCAATAACATAGTTCATTACAAAATGAGATTGAGATCCCGCATCCAATAAAATAAACCCTTATTTTATTTTCAATCTATATTTAAATTCTTTAAAAACCAAAATACAATTTAATCCAAACAATTCCATTAGAGTTACATTTTAGCAAAATATAGTATAATATTAACTCAGTATAATCAAATAACCATTTATATCAACAAATATTTAAATAGGGTAAGATATTTGAATAGCAGCGGCCAAAGAACTGTCTATTTGCATAGAACTACTTTTCACAAAAGTAGGAGAGAGAATGAGGAAATGACAAGGACTATGATACATTTTATGTAATTCCAACGGAACTCTGTTTGATGTGTTTGGTTTTCTAAAGATGCACAACAATTAGGGTGCCCATGGATCGTGTCAGGTTACGCCAATGAAATTTTTTTGAGTCAGATCTAAATATTGTAAATCTAAACTCTTATTCAAGTGAGTTATCGAACTGATCATACCGAGCTTCAAGTAGGAGTAGTCTACCCGCAGCCCAACCCGTTGGTGGGCGTGGGCAAACTTGCTTATAGACTTTTTTACATATAACTTCATTTAAAAATGATAAATATTTTTGTAACTTAATATTTGTATAAATTATATTTTTGAATTAAATGTAGAGTTACAATGAATAAAAATAAAATAATAAATAATTTTATTTTTGATTAGAGGATGAACTACATCTAATAAAATGAATGCATCTCAATTAGATTGACATCTACTCACTTATCTATCATTTGCATTACTCTATTCTTTAAAATCTGTATATTTTAATACAGGGAAAAGAAAATAATACATTATATTTTAGTATCTAAATTTTTAAAACTTCAAATTCTGATATTGGGTGACTTTTTTCAAAGTTTCAAATTTAATATTCTAAAAGTATAACTTTTTTTCAAAAGAAGGGTGGGCGGGCTCTTGTGTCAGATTTTAATGGATTTTTTTCGAACGGGTTATTGGACCGGGTAATGGGTTTGGGGGCAAATCCAAGCCCTCTTTTTAAGGATATTATGTTCGGACTTAGGCGGGCCAACTATCAAGTCATTCGGGCCTATTTTGTTTGGACGAAATAACAGGACCCGTGGGTAATCCGGCTCATGGACACCCCTAAGAACAACCCTTGTCAACTTAGTTATTCATAATTTTCTATCTACTTTTCAAATATTACGATAATAGACAAAAAAAAAAAAGATTGGCGAAGGATGACTAGAAGGTAGGGGGAATGTGTGTTAATTTTATGCATCGCACAAGGCCGTTGATAGTGTTTTTATATATAAATCAATTTCTATAAATGTTAGTTTTGGAAACATAGAGCTTAAAAATGTTACCTGCAACATCAATTAATATGTTTTTATTGAGTCGTGTCGTTTTTGATTTGTGGCATATATTGTTCAACTAAAATCTAACTCATTTAATCCATCATGTTAAATGTTTTGAAACTAATCTGATCTATTTATTAGAACATCGCATTTGTTTTGACCTGAAAAATTTGTGATCTAGGAACTTAAACACCAAGATTCCCTTCGGTCACAAAGCAACCCACCACCCATAGGTTTCCATAAACAAAAAATGTACTCAATTCATATGCTAGTAAAATAGAGTAAAAAGTCCTTGAATTTTACAAGGATTTATACGATACCTATAAAGAAATTTAAAAAAAA